TCTTTCAAACTTCTCCTCAGGCCTAAAATGGATCAGTTTTTGATATGTTTTTACCAGAAGACCAGGTCAGCTTTGAGTCTTGAGATGCCAAAGGCTTTTATAAATCGCTCCACAATATGCAATGATGCAATTCAAACCCAAACTCTTACTTTTAAACTCCGTGTGACCCAGAGGAACTCTTGAGACAGAGAATGTGATGCGATATGAAAGTTTAATGTGGATTTATTTGATTATATATAAAAAAATAATAAATGAAAATCTCTTCCGTGAAGCATACTTATGCAGAGGGGCGGGACTATCTCATTCTAGAGAGCGTTTGATTGGACGAATATTTGTGTATTTCAGGAGTCCGCAGCATCTTTGCTTCATTTTCCTGGAAGAGAAAACTATTTTTTTTTTGTATTTATGATTAAATTATTTATAATTTAGTATAGACATAAACTAAAAGCCTCAAAACTATATAGTTTTGACATCGTGGCATGTTTAAACTTTTGTGCTCTCTGTACATTGACCAGTGTTATTTTAGTATAATTGAGATAATGTTATAGTTTTTAATTGATATTTTGGATTAGTTTTTATTTTTATATTTTCTGTTTTCATTTTAATTTTAGTTTTTGTTTCATTAATTTTGATTTCCGTTTTTATTTTAGTTACTTTAGTTTAAACTAGTTTAAGTTTCTGTCATTTTTATTTATTTATTTGCATTTTATTAGTTTTTCTTTTATCAATTTTTAATTGTTTTAATTTTAATTATTTTAATATTTCAACTTAAACTAAGCGGAAAAATTTATATTTTAAATAGTTTTGTGAAATATATTTATATATAGTTTTATTGATTTTATTGTTATTGTTTATGTAATTGTATTCATCAAAATTTTTTCATTTTATTTTGTAGTTTTTATTAATATTTTGTATTATTTTGTATTTTATTTTTATTTAATTGTATATTTTCCATTTTCATTTTAATTTTAGTTTATTTATTTGCATTTGATTAGTTTTTCTTTTATCAATTTTGAATTCAGTTTTAATTTTAATTATTTTAATATTTCAACTTAAACTAAGCAAAAAAATCACATTTTAAATTAGTTTTGTGAAATATATTTATATATAGTTTTATTGATTTTATTGTTATTGTTTATTTAATTTTATTCATCAACATTTTTAGTCATTTTATTTTGTAGTTTTTATTCATATTTTGTATTTTATTTTTATTTAATTGTATATTTTCCATTTTAATTTTAGTTTAAGTATTAGTCATTTTTGTTAGTTTTTGCTTTTTATTCATTTTTGTTTTTTTTTATTTTATTTCAGTTTAAATTTGAGTTATTTTTGTACTTAAACTAAACGTTTGTTTTTATGTCTTACTTTAGTTAATGTTTATATATATATATTTTTTTTTTTTTTTTTTTTAATGGATTAGTTTTAGTCTCAGTTTAATAATCTTGACATTAACCCATTTCTGCTTTTATTTTTAGAGATGCTGGGAAGTGGAAAGGAGGAGCTGAATAGAGGAGAACTGGAGCAGATCTGATGAACTCTGAGCTCGACTGATATTTTAACTCTTCTTATTGATAGCAGCTCTTCATAGAGCCCTACAGGTACTGAAACGAGTCAAACCTTTCTCTGTCCTCCATCATATCAGACTTTAAACACTTCGGAATCATATTTTAGTAAAAGCTTTTCATTTCATACATTAATTTTATTTCAGCAGATATGAAATGGCAACATGACAAAAATATGGATCTCAGCACACCATGTTGAAGTCGATATATTTGATAGAAATATATAATGGCAAAACAAGTAAACTGCATCAGTAGGGACTTCTTAAAATAATAATTCACCCATAAATGACAATTCTGTCATCATTTACTCATTTGTACACATTTTCTGTGCACTTTCCAAATACTTTTATGGCTTTTTTGGTCTTTTGTGCTATAAATCACCTTTTTGTGAACCTTAAAAATCAGCTTCGACATTCTTCTGGAGCTTTTTTCCGCAGAAGAAAGAAAGAAAATAACATGAGGGTGAGTAAATGATGACAAATTTTGAGTGAACCAGTCCTTTAATCAAACCCACAAAGTTTAGCCTTCAAATTCAGATCCGCTGTTTGTCTGTGGGTTAAACAGATGCTAAATATAATGTTTTTATCAGAACTGTATTTGTTATTAATTGAAGGGACAATCCTCCTGGGCTTAAAGTCAACATGAAACACTGCTTGCTATGGCGACACATTGCTGCCACATGCATATTATTTTTTTCCACTCAATTATGGCGTAATAACGAGATATTATGTTGTTTAAACAATATATCTTCTCATAATAACAAAATGCTATGTTGTTAAAATGACATATTTTTCCCGTTAAAGCAACATATTTTCTCGCAATAACGACATATCATAAAAACTATATGTTTTAACAACATAGCATCTCATTATTTCTAAAAAGTAATATAGTTTAAATGACATAACATCTTGTCATTATTAGAAAATATGTCGTTATATCGTTTTAATAACATATCTAATTATTACGAGAAAATATGTTTTAACGACAGCATCTCATTAATAAAACATTTTTCTCATTAAAACGACATATTTTCTCTTAATAACAAGATGTTATTATGTTGTTTAAAAAATATTTTTTAACAACATAAAATCTTGTTATTAAGAGAAAATATGTCGTTTTAATGAGAAAAATGTTTTATTGACAGCATTTCGTTATTACGAGAAAATCTATCGTTTTAACGACATATCATGTTTTCACGAGAAAATGTGTTTTAATGAGAAAAATTATGTTTTGCAACATGGCATATCGTTTTAACAACATATCTCGTTATCACAAGAAAATATGTCGTTTTAACAATAAAAATGTTTTAATGAGAGCATCTCGTTATTAGAAAATATATTGTTTAAATGACAACATCTTGTTATTACGAGAAAATGTAATTTTAACGACATAGCATCTCGTTATTACGAGAAAATATATCGTTTAAATTACATAACATCTTGTTATTAACGAGAAAATGTCATTTTAGTGACAGAGAATCTCGTTATTACGAGAAATTCTATTGTTTAAATGACGTAGCATCTCATTATTATGAGAAAATATATCTTTTAAGTGACATAACATATTGTTATTACAAGAAAATATATCTTTTAACCACAATATCTGGTTATTTTGAGATATTATGTTGTTTTAACAAGAAAAATGTTTTACTGAAAAATAATAAATAACGTGAAGGAAAGTTATTTCAGAGGCAGAGCAAGTTATTACATTTTGACAAACATCTTTTATTTAGAATAAAGTGCACTCATTTTTTTGTGCACAATAAGACCAGGTATCCGTTGTGGAGTTAATTTTGATTTCATGTTGACTTTAAGTGCTCAAGGGGGCAATGATCGCAGGACGTCCCTGTCATATGATTTGAGATGATTGATATCGTCACGAAGGTTGTGAATATGAAAACATGCATAACCAGCAAGCATGAGAGGAACAGAGAAAAAGCGCGAGAGAGTTTGTGCTTTTCGACTGATTGAGCTGCTGTCCTGCATCTGTCTGTGTGATGACTGACAGCCGTCACTCATTATTTATGGACAGTGAAAGGCTCATGGGCTTCGTTTGACGTCTCTGTGGCGCCACCGCTAACGTTACTGTAAACATATTCATCATTTCATTTAAATAGCATCAGCCTTTTCAATGGATTGTGCACATACACTCTTAAAATAACGGTGCTTCAAAAGGTTCTTCACAGCGATGCCATAGAAGAACCATTTTTGGTTCCACAAAGAACCATTCAGTCAAAGGTTCTTTAAAGAACCATCTCTTTCTTAGCTTTTTATAATCTGAAGAACCTTCTTTCGCCACAAAGAAGCTTTTGTGAAACAGAAAGGTTCTTCAGATGTTAAAGGTTCTTTATGGAACCATTTAGTCAAAAAGGTTCTTCTATGGCATCGTGAAGCACCTTTATTTTTAATATTCTGTTTTCAGATATTTTTGTGATTTTTTTTTTTTGAGTAAATATTGTGTAAAACAAGTGTTTGTTTAAAGGAATAGTTCACCCAAAAACAAAAATAAAATTTTATTTTAGTATCATTGAGATACTATTATAGATTCTTGAAATATGTTGAACAAGTTTTTCATTTGTATTATTTATTTCTATTATTTATTTAATTTAATTTAAGTTTAATTTTTAGTAATTTTGTTGTGTGTTTTTGTCATTTTTAGTCGTTTTTTATGTCTATATAGTTTTTATTCGTTATTATTTAAGTTTCAGTTTTAGTTATTATAGTACTTCAAGCTAAACTAAATTAATGAGAGAAATGTTCACTTGGCAACTATCTGAAACGACATTTTTTAAAATATTTTATTTCAGTTAACATTTATTTTATTTCATGTAGCGAAAATGTTTTAATTTTAGTTTTAGTTAACTATAATAGCCCTGCCCTCAAGCAGGGTTATTATTCTTACTTAAAACTAAAACGAACAAAAACATTTTAGTTACTTGATATAAAATAAACATGGAATAAAATGAAATTTAAAATTTTATTTCAGTTAGCTGCCAAGGCAACATTTTTAATTTTCATTTAGTTTAACTTTAAGTACTAAAATAAATAAAATAAAATAAAATAAAATATATTTATTGATATATTTTTTTAAAAATGATAAAAATAACAAAAACACAACAAATTTAAAAAATACAGATTTTGTTTTAAAATAACTCAAAATATGTATGTTTCTTTTTGTTTGTGTTGAAGTACTAAAATAACTACAATTAAAAATGAAATAAAACTAAATAAAACAAACTATAAAAACACTATTAAAAAAACTATTAAAAAACAAAAACTAATAATGTTGACAAAAACACACAACAAAATGACTAAAACTTTAACTAAAATTAAAATAGGGGAAAAAAGTATAATAGCATATCAATGATACCAAACTTACAATGATACTAAAAATTTTATTTTTACTGTAGAACACAAATTCTGAATAAAAATACAATTTTTATGGTGCTTTTTTGGAGCCTGACATTGATCAGTTGTTGTTGTATGTGTGAAGATTCTTCATAAATTCTTCTTTTGTGTTCCACAGGAAATAAAATGACATGATACATGTTCAGAACATCAAAGAATGACAATGTCCATTTTTGGGTGAACTGTCCCTTTAAATTAATCAGCGGTCCAACCTGCTTTTAAGATCTCAGCCTCTGCAACTAAAAACCCACATTGTTTGTTATCAGTGTCAGCATGTAAAAGTCATAAATAATCCAACAGTTCCAACACTGTGCTTATTGTTTCTCTGTGCTGAAAAGAGTTGGAGGGTCCCATCATAAGGCCTCCAGTCAGACGGTAGTGACTCTCATAACCACTTCTCTAGGTTTAGTGGTGTTCGTGCTGATGTTACTGGTTGGGCTGCGTGGCTCGTGTGGCCGTAGATGACTCAGTAAATGCAGGAGGTTATAGGGACAGTGTTGGTCCGGTAAAGCTGGCCCGTCAGCGAGAGTGTCAGTCTGGTAGGAGTCCTGCGCGGCCGCTGTGATGTTTGTGTTTGTCGTGCCGTCGGTCACGTCGAGTGCCGGCGTCCCAGCAGCAGCCATGAGTGAAGACGGTGAAGGAGAGACGTCCGCTCCTGCCGGCTCCCTCTGGTGGAGCAGCGAATTTTTCTTCAGCTCCTCACTGTCTCGCTTCTTATCGTAGTTTAAAACTTTCCACTGCTGATTGACGGCCTGCCAGCGGTGGAATATACGGAAAACGGATGGGCCCTCGTGGACGATTAGAGCTGCGGAGAAGAGAGATTCATTCGGGTTAACTGTAAGTTTTTGTTTTGATAATTCTGATCATTCTTGAGTTACATGGAAGCTTGTTTCTACCACAAAACAAAACAAAAAAATCATGCAATTCTGAGTTCATGTCTTGCAATTCTAGTTTATATCTTGCAATTCTGGGTTTATATCTCGCAATTCTAGTTTATATTTTGCAATTCTGGGTTTATATCTCGCAATTCTAGTTTATATCTTGCAATTCTGAGTTTATATTTTGCAGTTCTAGTTTATATCTTGCAATAGTTTATATCTCGCAATTCTGAGTTATTTCGCAATTCTGAGTTTATATCTCGCAATTCTAGTTTATATCTCATAATTCTGAGTTATTTCGCAATTCTAGTTTATGTCGCTATTCTGAGTTATTTTGCAATTTTGAGTTTAAATTTCGCAATTCTAGTTGATATCTCACAATTCTAGTTTATATCTCATAATTCTGAGTTTATATTTCGCAATTCTAAGTTTATATCTCACAATTCTAGTTTATATCATGCAATTCTGAGTTTTTTCGCAATTCTAGTTTATATCTCGCTATTCTGAGTTATTTCGCAATTTTGAGTTTAAATTTCTCAATTCTAGTTTATATCTTGCAATTCTAGTTTATATCTCATAATTCTGAGTTTATATTTCGCAATTCTAGTTTATATCTTGCAATTCTAGTTTATATCTTGCAATTCTTTTATATCTCAATTCTGAGTTTATATTTCGCAATTCTAGTTTATATCTTGCAATTCTTTTATATCTCAATTCTGAGTTTATATTTCACAATTCTAGTTTATATCTTGCAATTCTGAGTTTATATTTCGCAATTCTAGTTTATATCTTGCAATTCTTTTATATCTCAATTCTGAGTTTATATTTCACAATTCTAGTTTATATCATGCAAATCTACTTTATCTCGCAATTCTGAGTTTATATTTCGCAATTCTAGTTTTATATCTCGCTATTCTGAGCTATTTCACAATTTTGAGTTTATACTTTATCTCGCAGTTCTAGTTTATATCTTGCAATTCTAGTTTCTATCTCATAATTCTGAGTTTATATTTCGCAATTCTAGTTTATATCCTCGCTATTCTGAGCTATTTCACAATTTTGAGTTTATACTTTATCTCGCAGTTCTAGTTTATATCTTGCAATTCTATTGCAATACTAGTTTCTATCTCATAATTCTGAGTTCATATTTCGCAATTCTAGTTTATATTTAGCAATTCTACTTTATATCTTGCAATTCTGAGTTATTTTGCAATTCTGAGTTTACATTTCACAATTCTATTTTATATCTTGCAATTCTATTTTATATATTGCAATTCTATTTTATATCTCACAACTCTGAGGCTTCCATAGAGATAAGTAATTTTGAGATGAAAGGGTGGAAGAATCTAAATGCAAAAACCTTTACTAACATTATAATTGAACCTCAGGAAGATAAACAACAAAAAATGTATGAACTGACTTCTTTAATAAAGTCAGACTATAGACAGCTGAAAACTGCCATTGCTGCCTATCTGTTCTCAGTGTTAATGAAGTTTGAAAACTCAGAGTGGTGTAAAATCAAAACCACATACTGTACTATACAGTATACTAGTTCTGTGAGGAAAAAGGCCAAAGATCTATATCTAAAGTGTCTGTATCTACTATGTTTACTGTAATTTTGCTACAGTTTGTTGCATTCTTTTTCTTTGTGCTCAGTGATTTAGAAAGCTGAATGATTCTTCAAGGTTGTGTTTGGAATTAAATATTAGCATAATTCATGGAATTGACTGTATATAATGGTATGCAGTATGCACAAATAAATTTCAAGTGGCAGTTTACATACTGTGCCCACTATATAATGCAGCATTAAGTAAGAGTATGATGGCAGAATGAACCCAGTGCATGTATTATTTCATACTAATGACTCATAAATCTCTGGATCCAGGCAGATGTGTGTTGAGCACTGGGTATCTCATCTAGTGTTCTGTTTGAAGAAACACTAATCCAAAACTCCTGGAGTTTCTCTCTGATTTATGCCTGTTTCCATCTACATTTAAACTAGAGGTAATATTAATGAAGGTAGACGATGGCTGTGTCTGGCCTGGTTCCGCATTACTTGAAGCTCTTTCTCTCCGTGTGTTTGTCCAGCGCTCTGAGATGTTGTGTCCTCACATGTTCTGTGCAGAAGGTTGATGATGACTCCTGACCTCTTTACTAACTTTCTCCTCCTGTTTCTCCCTTTGCTCTCTCTTTTCTTTGCCTTTCTGGGAAGTATTTTTTATTGGTGAATCAGGCTTAGTGTTGGTTTTGATTTCTACATTCCCAATCTAATTATAATGTTTTGCACTGTATGTGGACATGTAAAGGAATAGTTCACTGAAAAATGACAGTTTGATGAAAATTTACATCACTTGCTGAACAATGGATCCTCTGTAGTGAATGGGTGCCGTCAGATCTTGGTTGGCCTGAGGGTGGGTAATTTGACAGCAAATTTTCATTTTATTTATTTTTTTACTTTAAGGGAATAGTTTACCAAAAAATACAAAATTTAGGCAGATTGTCAGAGCTTCTGTTTTCTGAGAATATGGTGATTTATATTTTCAAGCTCCAAATGTTTACTCAGAAATTACTAGTAAATTTCACAATTAATTACAATTAAATAAATTGAATTAAAAATTGTATTCTGAAGTGCAAAGACTGAAATAGTATTTTTATGTAAAACACATAATCCCATAATCCTTCAAAATAATTTTTTAGTGTACATTAGAATTTCTAACTAGTGCTTTAGAGAATCCAGTATTCCGCTCTTATGACTGAGAATGAGTGCGACACAAACAGTCTCTCCTGCTGTGTCACATGTTTTATTTGCCATTTGCACAAAGACAAACAAACTGAATCATTCATCAATTGATTCTTTAGATGTTTCTCTCTTTCTGTTTACGCTCATGTGTGTTTGTGTGACTATATGAGTGAATTTAGTATTTCATAAAATCTGTGAGGAGACCTATTTCTAATTTTCTGATGTTTTACAGTCATTCATGTGAGTCAGTGTAATTTTAGTATCATCGATATAATATTATAGATTTTGCTAAAATTTTAAATTCGATTTTGTTTTTATATTTTGTTTTTACTTTCATTTTAATTAAAGTTTTAGTAATTTTGTTGTATGTTTTTGTTGTTTTAGTTTTTTTTTTATGTCTATATACGTTTTATTATTTTTAATTGTTAAAATAATTTTTTTATTTATTTTGCATTTTTTATTTTATTTAGTACTTTAGTACTTTAAATAATAATGAGAAATGTTGCCTTGGCAACTAACTGATATAAAAAAGTTATTTATTTATTCTTTTTATTTAGTTCATTTTTATTTAGTTAGTTAATTTGGTTTTAAGTAACACAAATATTCTTTAATGGTTGTAGTTTTAGTTAACAATAATAACCCTGATGTGAGTCAATCATTGAAATGGAAGCAGTTAATATTAACAAGTTGCTATTACATACTCATGCATAATATGATGTTGAAATCTTTTGCTCTGTTTCTTTTTCTTTAGATTTTAATCCCTGTGCATTGGACTCATGGTCACTGGTGTACATTGTGAATCACAGAAGATGATATGAGGCATGTTGGGTTTCTGCGGTTAAATGCAATTCATTACAGACACAGTATGTCAAGGATTTCTGCTTTTAAACACGCATACTTTTTGTGGATTTCTCTGAAGCTCTCATATTCAAATTCTCCTTGAACTTAAATGTATTCTATGATACTAAGAAAACATACTGTAACTTTCAGAACTTCCTTCCCAGTGAAACAAGCACTAAACTAAACTGTGTAAAAGACTCATTCGGACTCAACAAACTTCATTTAAATCCAACTATGATGAACCTAACTTGACCTTTGACCCCAAGCAAACTGTACATACCGATACAGATGACGTCCATGAAGCCGTACATCCCGTAACAGATCTGGAAGAGCAGGTCTTGCCGTTGCCACTTGGCCGAAGGGCTGAGAGACGACCACACCAGCCACGAGATACTGGCGATGAGGAAGAGCGAACCCAAGATCGCCGCCGCTATCTGGACCTTCTCTATGACGGTGAGCGAAATCGCTTGCCACTTCATTAAAACACAAACGAGACAGAGAGCAGGGGATTTCAGTGCTACTGCATTTCTCTATTCTACTATTTAGGATGGAATTTCAAGATCCAGTTCTAATTCAGAAACAAATCCATTTTTAATAAATCATTTAAAAATTCAATTTTTAAATGCTACATTTAAATGATTCAAAAATTCCATTTAAATGCTACATTTAAATAATAAAAAAATTCCATGTTAAATGCTAGATTTAAATGATTCAAAAATTCATTTTTTAAATGCTAGATTTAAATGATTCAAATAGTCTATGATTTGAAAACAAATGATTCTAATGAACTGATTATTTTGGATTCTATAAAAAGAACTGATAATAATCATAAATGTTTCTTGAGCAGCAAATCAGCATATTAGAATGATTTCTGAAGATCATGTGACACTGAAGACTGGAGTAATGATGCTGAAAATTCAGCTTTGATCACAGGAATAAATTACATTTTACAATATATTCACATAGAAAACAGCTTTTTACTGTATTTGTATTCAAATAAATGCGGTCTTGGTGAGCAGAAGAGACCTCCACCTTATTGACCCAAACTTTTGAACATTGTATGTGCTCTTCCTCAAAAGTAGAAGAATTATTAAAGGGGTCATATGATGCTGCTAAAAATGTGGTGTATGAAATGTGTTTATGCAGTTTAAGGTTCAAAAAACACATTATTTTCCACATACTGTACATTATTGTTTCTCCTCTATGCCCCGCCTTTCTGAAACGCGTCGATTTTTACAAAGCTCATCGTTCTGAAAAAGCGAGGTGTGAAAAATTTAAATCGCATCATATGACCCCTTTAAAAGAATCATTCAGAATCAGAACTGTTCCCATAATTAAATTCAGGGCTCATTTTGTGTCTTGTAAGTGGTTTTGACGTGCTGTACCTGCAGCGGGTTCTTGGTGCTGATGGCGATCACCTGATACTTGTAGTAACAGAGTTCACAGGTCCACGAGCCTCTTTCACTGATCCACTTGATGAGACACGGTTGATGAGTGCTGCGAATGGAGCCGCTGCAGCGACACGGGCTCAGCAGCTCACCCTGAAACACACACACAAGCTGGAGCTCATACTCGAGGAGGAAAAAACACCTCACTTTTCTTCACAGGCCCAGATTGAGCAAAAATATGCAGCTTGCTGCAGATGCTGATATTTACATGACCAAAAAGTGATGAACTTTTGATGCTTGTAATGTAAATCAATGAGATCTTTATAGCAGTACAGCAGATACTTACATAAAATGATATAAATATCAATCGTCACTCTATATCTCCAATAATATGTCTTAGTAAGATGAGATTTAAATGCTTAATTTTATGATCAAAACATATAATGCAATGCAATACGATGATTATTGAGAGATGAATAAATAAACGTTCCTCAAAAGCCTGATGATCATATTTGAGACTCATATTTGAACAAAAAAAATGATGTCTGGATAATCAAGTAAAGCTAAGTTGATTCAGTCCAGTAAGTGTTCATCTGGAAATATTACTAACCATATCAAAGATATTCTTATGTTTACTCTATAAAAATCAGTAAAGATTTCACAGCAAGTCGTGTGAAGCACGAGCTGAAGCTGGACGTTTGTACAATTATACTAAAAGACCTTTTACTTGCTAAAAAAAGTCTAAACTATCAATCAGACGACAGAAGGCATGGAGCAGATTGTGTGCAAGAGGTTTCACAGCAACGTTTTGATCATTTAGAGACTTTAGAAATTCATACATTAAATATGATACAGTAGGCTTTATAGGGTTAATTGTGGTGTTATTTTTTCTTTTGTTTGCTGTAAACGTACTGGTAAAAAATGTATAGCCTGAATGCACGTAAGTCGCTTTGGATAAAAGCATCTGCTAAATGCATAAATGTATTTAATTTAAACATATTTAAAAGCATGTATTATCTGCACTTTTTCCATTACCAAGCACTTATTCAGTGTTTTATCTCGAATTTTAGAAGCTGCAGTTGACAGTTCAGGCATAATGAAAAGTGTGTGAACTGACAATTTCAGAACAAATATTTTATCCTCCTCATGGGCACTATTTGAAATTTAAATAGAAAAAAGAGAACTAAAGCCCAACGTTCATTCAGACTTCAGAGTGACTTTTTAAGTGCACTATATACGGTAAACTGCTGCTTACTGGATCATCAAATGCTCTGTGAATCACAGTAAACTAAGCTTTTTTATCTTTTTATAAAAGATTTTTGTTGTTGTTGTTAAGAAATCACTATTTTTATTCAACAAGGACGCATTAAATTGATCAAAAGTGAGAGTAAAGACATTTATAATGTTACAAAAGATTACAAATAAATGATGTTCTTTTGAACTTTCTGTTCATCAAAGAATCCTGAATAGATCCACAAAAAAAAAATATGAAGAAGCACAACACAACAAAAGTAATAAGAAATGGGCACCTAATCTTGAGCACAAAATTTGCATATTAGAAGTATATAATATAATTTGTAGAATTATGTGTGTATGTGTGTTTATTTAATTCATTCATTTTAATTTAATTTAAATGAATTTAATACATAATCTAATTTATTATATTAATATATTAAATTATTCTCTCTTTTTCTTTCCCTAATTTACATTTTAATGTTATTGGCATGTGAATACTTGTATATTTGTGTATTATCAGTATTAATCTTTTTATTTATTTTATTTATTGTCTGCATTTGGGATTGTTGTGTTGAGATGGGAATTAATTAACAGTTAGGAAAATGGAAGTGCTTTTGTCACTGAATAATTTCTGTGTACCTTGTTTTGATAAAAAATAAATAAATAATTCAAAGTACTGTTCAATCTCATTAGAAATTAATTATTCTGCTCAATATTCAATTCAATTCAAGTTGATTTGTATAGCGCTTTTCATGAAACAAATCGTTGCAAAGCAACTCTACAGAAAATTACGTTTCTGCAATATATTTACACTGCAAAAAAATGCTTTTCTTACTTAATTTTTTGTCTTGTTTTCAGCCAAAATATCTAAAAATTCTTAAATCAAGAAGGATTTTCTAGACAAGTTCAAATTATTGTCTTGTTTTCAGAAAAAACATGTCAAAATTAAGTGAGTTTTTGCTAAATAGAAGCAAAATAATCTGCCAATGGGGATAGCAAAATAATCTTATTTCAAACAGAAAACATTCTGTTACCCCATTGGCAGATTATTTTTGCTAGTTTCAGGCAAAAACTTGACATTTTTTATGAAAACAAGACAATAATTTTTACTTGTCTAGAAAATCCTTCTTGATTTAAGAATTTTTAGATATTTTGGCTGGAAACAAGACAAAAAAATCTAAGTAAGAAGAGCATTTTTTGCAGTGTAGTAGTAGCTTATCAGTGGTGACTGTCAGTTAATGTACATATGGTAGAAATGTACGGAAAATCAATTAAAGACGTAATCAAACAGACGATGAACACTATTAACAGCAATTATTATATGATGCAATCAAACTTATAGCAAAATTTGGTAGTTCTGTATGTTGTTTCAAGGTTTCAATATTAATGTATGCTGCCTATATGTATGCATATTAGAGTATTCTGGCGTTAGTTAAGCAACACACTCCTGGCAAACCAATTTCGACTGGTTGAATCTGGTTTTTCTCAGTAGGCAGCTCACTGTGATTTGGACCAGGGCCTCTAGTGTGTGTCTAGTGTAGTATATTTACTACTGGACTGTGCTGTAGTGAGTTATGCATGTGTAATATTCTGCTCTGCTGCGTGTAGATGACAGCGTTAATCGGATGCGGATGGATGTAGACGTCCTGACTGTCCTGTCTGTGAAGCGCTGCGTAACTGAGGAGCAGACACAGTAACAGCTGCGGCGCAGTGTGAGCAAACACTCGAGCACTAACACTAGAGTCACGCTGAGAGATATCCACACTCGCACACACAACATGCCCTCTCGTTTCTCTCGAGTGCATAAACAGAGTGCGAGTTAAACGTTTCAAATCCGTTTCTCATGTCAGAACCCAAAAACACAGATCAGATCAGCTGAGGTTAAACTGCGCTGGATGTTATTGCTCAGAGTTTGCTCATTTAAAGCTCAGGATACATAATGGCGTGCTCAGTTATGTTTCATTTATCAACTTTAAAACTTAATTTGGAGAAATGCAAATCGACACAAGTTGTTGACAAATTGTTGTATTTCACAGAATCTTCAGAGAAACGTCTGAGACAAAGTTGATACTTGAATAAAACATGTCTGAAAACTCAATGATGTCTCCTGAGCAATGGATGAGCAACCTCTGAGCACACAATCAGCTTTAAAAGTAACATGGATTTGATGAGAAATATTTGAGTACATATTGAGATCTATGACTTTTGATTGGAGACATTGGTATTGTGACAAATGTGAGCACTGTTTGAGACAGTCTTGAGATTATTGGGGTCTGTTTCTCCAGGAGAAACCTCTGAGAAGCAGATCTCATTTTTATCTCGCTGCTGTCTAGGAGAAACAAATTAGTTTTTCCGTTTCCAGTAAATTTCTCAAGAGAAACATCTGAGAAGACCTAAAATTCTCCATTAATCTCATTGTTGTCTGGGATAAACAATCAAAATAGTCAAGAAATCTCATCCGTGCTCCTTCTGCCAAAGAGTGGAGCTCTAAGTAAAAGCCGCCTCGAGCTCAACTTAACATGAGTATTACATAAGCACGACCCCGATGCTCCTTCAGCCAAGAGGAGCGCTACCTCCGTCACAGCGTCGAGAGGAAATAGAACGGGAGTGTTGGTACAGACACAGGCCTGTCTGCAGATGGACTTAGTGGGAGCGAGTTGGCCGGACAGTATGAGGAGAGCAGGAACAGCCAATGGGAGGAGGGCGGCACAGGAGGAGACGGGGAGCACGTCCAAACCTGCAGCCTAATCCGCCTCCGTGTTCTCAGGGCAGCACAAATCAGACGGCCATTACAACTGTGACAATCTGTTTCACTTACTCCACCGAGAGCCACGCTGCGGATAAAGAGTTTAATGCTGTTTATTTCACTCCTGTTCAAGATAGTGACAACCAAACATTCAATAAATGCATGTAATGTGAACAGAAGCGATCTGAATTAGTTGTTAATGAAGTGGTGTGAGTTTTAACCCTCATGTTGTATTTAAGTCATTTTCTTTTTCCCAAATATTCTAGTTTTTCTTATCGCATTGGACTAAAACTTACTGACTTTGCTCACACACGGTATAACAATCAGCTTTGGGGGTAATGCTTTACAAGTAACGCGAGTTACGCAATCAAATTACTTTTATGAAGTAACCAGTAAAGTAATGCATTACTGTTTCATTTACAACAAAACATCTGAGTTACTTTTTCAAATAAGAAACACCAGTTACTTTGTTTTCTCATGTATTGACTGACAGCTCTCCTGTCCTCGTGTTGAGAGAAATCAGGAGTGAGTGCAGAGGTGTTGTGTGCAGAGGCTGTGTGAACATGATGTTACTGTAGCTCTAGACTAAATGTCAACATGCATTTACTCATTTCACTCGCACAAAAACAGATTCAGTATTCCTCAAAATGAATAAAAACAGTGAAATGCAAACTCAGAATATGACGCAAACCTGCAATAATTAAATGTTAATTAACACAAATATCCTTTATGTATTTAATCCCATTTTATTAACCAATGTCTTTGCTGCTGACCTTCGATGATCCAATTCAACCATACTAATAAGCAAAAATTACTTTAGATAAACATAACATTTGTGTTTGTAGATAAAAGTAGGGTTGCAAATAGGTGGAAAATTTCCAGTAAATTTCGGAAATATTCCAGGATTTTTTGGAATATTCAATGGATTTTTGGAAAGTTTCTGGAAATTTACCGCCTCTTTGCAATCCTAGTGTTGAACTTTCTTCTCCTGCATCCTTTTCTTCATGCTATTCAGAATAGCAGCGCAGCTGAAAGGGTTTTTTTGAGCTTCATTTCCTTCAGCCTGAGGCTTATTCATTTCACTTTTGGTGTGAAAGGGCTTTTACATTTGCCAAAAATTGAACTTTTTATATTAAAAATCAAACAAGCAAGCCCAGCCCAGATGAGAAAA